GATGATACATGTTGTGTAGGCACTGAATGATATATAGAAAGATGATACATGTTGTGTATGCACTGAATGATATATAGAAAGATGATGTGTGTTGTGTATGCACTGAATGATATATAGAAAGATGATATGTGTTGTATATGCACTGAATGATATATAGAAAGATGATACATGTTGTGTAGGCACTGAATGATATATAGAAAGATGATACATGTTGTGTAGGCACTGAATGATATATAGAAAGATGATATGTGTTGTGTATGCACTGAATGATATATAGAAAGATGATACATGTTGTGTATGCACTGAATGATATATAGAAAGATGATATGTGTTGTGTATGCACTGAATGATATATAGAAAGATGATACATGTTGTGTATGCACTGAATGATATATAGAAAGATGATACATGTTGTGTATGCACTGAATGATATATAGAAAGATGATACATGTTGTGTAGGCACTGAATGATATATAGAAAGATGATATGTGTTGTGTAGGCACTGAATGATATATAGAAAGATGATGTGTGTTGTGTAGGCACTGAATGATATATAGAAAGATGATATGTGTTGTGTAGGCACTGAATGATATATAGAAAGATGTTATGTGTTGTGTAGGCACTGAATGATATATAGAAAGATGATACATGTTGTGTATGCACTGAATAATATATAGAAAGATGATATGTGTTGTGTAGGCACTGAATGATATATAGAAAGATGATATGTGTTGTGTAGGCACTGAATGATATATAGAAAGATGATACATGTTGTGTAGGCACTGAATGATATATAGAAAGATGATATGTGTTGTGTATGCACTGAATGATATATAGAAAGATGATATGTGTTGTGTATGCACTGAATGATATATAGAAAGATGATACATGTTGTGTAGGCACTGAATGATATATAGAAAGATGATACATGTTGTGTAGGCACTGAATGATATATAGAAAGATGATATGTGTTGTGTAGGCACTGAATGATATATAGAAAGATGATATGTGTTGTGTATGCACTGAATGATATATAGAAAGATGATACATGTTGTGTAGGTACTGAATGATATATAGAAAGATGATGTGTGTTGTGTAGGCACTGAATGATATATAGAAAGATGATAGATGTTGTGTATGCACTGAATGATATATAGAAAGATGATACATGTTGTGTATGCACTGAATGATATATAGAAAGATGATACATGTTGTGTATGCACTGAATGATATATAGAAACATGATACATGTTGTGTATGCACTGAATGATATATAGAAAGATGATATGTGTTGTGTAGGCACTGAATGATATATAGAAAGATGATATGTGTTGTGTATGCACTGAATGATATATAGAAAGATGATACATGTTGTGTATGCACTGAATGATATATAGAAAGATGATACATGTTGTGTATGCACTGAATGATATATAGAAAGATGATGTGTGTTGTGTATGCACTGAATGATATATAGAAAGATGATATGTGTTGTGTATGCACTGAATGATATATAGAAAGATGATACATGTTGTGTATGCACTGAATGATATATAGAAAGATGATACATGTTGTGTATGCACTGAATGATATATAGAAAGATGATATATTCTGTGTATGCACTGAATGATATATAGAAAGATGATATGTGTTGTGTATGCACTGAATGATATATAGAAAGATGATACATGTTGTGTAGGCACTGAATGATATATAGAAAGATGATGTGTGTTGTGCATGCACTGAATGATATATAGAAAGATGATACATGTTGTGTATGCACTGAATGATATATAGAAAGATGATTTGTGTTGTGTAAGCACTGAATGATATATAGAAAGATGATACATGTTGTGTATGCACTGAATGATATATAGAAAGATGATGTGTGTTGTGTATGCACTGAATGATATATAGAAAGATGATACATGTTGTGTATGCACTGAATGATATATAGAAAGATGATGTGTGTTGTGTAGGCACTGAATGATATATAGAAAGATGATACATGTTGTGTATGCACTGAATGATATATAGAAAGATGATACATGTTGTGTATGCACTGAATGATATATAGAAAGATGATGTGTGTTGTGTAGGCACTGAATGATATATAGAAAGATGATACATGTTGTGTATGCACTGAATGATATATAGAAAGATGATACATGTTGTGTAGGCACTGAATGATATATAGAAAGATGATACATGTTGTGTATGCACTGAATGATATATAGAAAGATGATACATGTTGTGTATGCACTGAATGATATATAGAAAGATGATACATGTTGTGTAGGCACTGAATGATATATAGAAAGATGATACATGTTGTGTAGGCACTGAATGATATATAGAAAGATGATGTGTGTTGTGTAGGCACTGAATGATATATAGAAAGATGATACATGTTGTGTAGGCACTGAATGATATATAGAAAGATGATACATGTTGTGTAGGCACTGAATGATATATAGAAAGATGATACATGTTGTGTAGGCACTGAATGATATGTAGAAAGATGATGTGTGTTGTGTAGGCACTGAATGATATATAGAAAGATGATACATGTTGTGTAGGCACTGAATGATATATAGAAAGATGATGTGTGTTGTGTAGGCACTGAATGATATATAGAAAGATGATGTGTGTTGTGTATGCACTGAATGATATATAGAAAGATGATATGTGTTGTGTATGCACTGAATGATATATAGAAAGATGATGTGTGTTGTGTAGGCACTGAATGATATATAGAAAGATGATGTGTGTTGTGTAGGCACTGAATGATATATAGAAAGATGATATGTGTTGTGTATGCACTGAATGATATATAGAAAGATGATGTGTGTTGTGTAGGCACTGAATGATATATAGAAAGATGATGTGTGTTGTGTAGGCACTGAATGATATATAGAAAGATGATGTGTGCTGTGTAGGCACTGAATGATATATAGAAAGATGATGTGTGTTGTGTATGCACTGAATGATATATAGAAAGATGATATGTGTTGTGTATGCACTGAATGATATATAGAAAGATGATGTGTGTTGTATAGGCACTGAATGATATATAGAAAGATGATATGTGTTGTGTAGGCACTGAATGATATATAGAAAGATGATGTGTGTTGTGTATGCACTAAATGAAAGATAGAAAGATGATATATGCTGTGTATGCACTGAATGATATATAGAAAGATATGTGTTGTGTATGTACTGAATGATATATAGAAAGATGATATGTGTTGTGTATGCACTGAATGATATATAGAAAGATATGTGTTGTGTATGTACTGAATGATATATAGAAAGATGATATGTGTTGTGTAGGCACTGAATGATATATAGAAAGATGATGTGTGTTGTGTATGCACTAAATGAAAGATAGAAAGATGATATATGCTGTGTATGCACTGAATGATATATAGAAAGATATGTGTTGTGTATGTACTGAATGATATATAGAAAGATGATATGTGTTGTGTAGGCACTGAATGATATATAGAAAGATGATATGTGTTGTGTATGCACTAAATGAAAGATAGAAAGATGATATATGCTGTGTATGCACTGAATGATATATAGAAAGATATGTGTTGTGTATGTACTGAATGATATATAGAAAGATATGTGTTGTGTATGTACGAAATGATATATAGAAAGATGATATGTGTTGTGTATGTACTGAATGATATATAGAAAGATGATGTGTGTTGTGTAGGCACTGAATGATATATAGAAAGATGATGTGTGTTGTGTAGGCACTGAATGATATATAGAAAGATGATGTGTGCTGTGTATGCACTGAATGATATATAGAAAGATGATATGTGTTGTGTATGCATTGAATGATATATAGAAAGATGATATGTGTTGTGTATGCACTGAATGATATATAGAAAGATGATGTGTGTTGTATAGGCACTGAATGATATATAAAAAGATGATATGTGTTGTGTATGCACTGAATGATATATAGAAAGATGATATGTGTTGTGTATGCACTGAATGATATATAGAAAGATATGTGTTGTATAGGCACTGAATGATATATAGTGGGAGGATATATCTTGTGTATATTTATTGGATATGTTGTGTACACACTGAGTGATAAAGGGATAGAGCATATATAGTGTCTAGAGACCGGATATGTTTTATTTACCTTATATGGGACATATCATGTATACATGTTCACTGAGTGATATAAAGGTGGAGGATATGTCTTGTGTATGTACTGTGTAAAGTAAGATAGAGGATATGTCCTGTGTATGTACTGTATAATGTAAGATAGAGGATATGTCTTGTGTATGTACTGTGTAATGTAAGATAGAGGATATGTCCTGTGTATGTACTGTATAATGTAAGATAGAGGATATGTCTTGTGTATGTACTGTGTAATGTAAGATAGAGGATATGTCCTGTGTATGTACTGTCTAATGTAAGAAGGAGGATATGTATTGTGTATGTTCTGTGTAATGTAAGCAAATGGTAGGACAGTGGATATGTCTTGTGTATGTACAGTGTAATGTAAGATGGAGGATATGTCTTGTGTATGTACTGTATAATGTAAGATAGAGGACATGTCTTGTGTATGTACTGTATAATGTAAGATAGAGGACATGTCTTGTGTATGTACTGTATAATGTAAGATAGAGGATATGTCTTGTGTATGTACTGTATAATGTAAGATAGAGGATATGTCATGTGTATGTACTGTATAATGTAAGATAGAGTATAGGATGTCTTTCTTCATGTATGTACTGTATAATGTAAGATAGAGTATAGGATGTCTTTCTTCATGTATGTACTGTATAATGTAAGATAGAGTATAGGATGTCTTTCTTCATGTATGTACTGTATAATGTAAGATAGAGTATAGGATGTCTTTCTTCATGTATGTACTGTATAATGTAAGATAGAGTATAGGATGTCTTTCTTCGTGTATGTACTGTATAATGTAAGATAGAGTATAGGATGTCTTTCTTTGTGTATGTCAGATTGACCTGGGCAATCGCTTGATGCCATGCTTCAACACGGGGTCGAAAGTCCCGTACTCTGATGTGAACCTGGCATCGGGACGTGCACACGCGCCCCGCTGGGGTCCCGACAGCAGCACATCGGAGGTCACCACGATACAGCTAGAGTTCAGGGACCTCAGCCGCATCTCGGGGGAGAAGAAGTTCGAGGTACGACAGATCTGGGCATTGTCTTGAAACAGAGTGGGTGTGTCGGCAATCTGATTAGTCAAGTGTGAGACATGTAACCCTGTTTTGGCTGTATAATGAAGATGTGTACACTGAAGTTGAAAAGGAAATTGGTTGTTTGATGTTTCCTACCTAAGAGGTTTTGTTAAGGGCCCCGATACCTAAAGGGGTGAAATGATACAGCAAGGTCGCGATACAATACGTATCATGATACATAGGTCACGATATGATACGTATCACAATATGCATATTTTCGTCAAATTATATGGAAACTTCATCCTATAAATATTTCAGAGCAGTTTCACAAGGAAAAGCTAGCTGTAGACACATTGATTGACAAAACTCTGAGGTCATTAAACGAGTAGTAATTTTTTTTTTTTTTTTAGCAAGTGTATCATCTTGTATCGATACAGAAAAAAACATATCACATATTGTATCGTCGCATGAAAACTCATGAAAACTCACGTAAGAGTTATAACAAGAACCAACCACTTGACCCCAATTGATTATTTGGAACACTGCTATGACACTGTTGCTACACGGCTGTTCCAGGATATCGTGCACGAGGTGTCTATGCATGTCCACAGCCTGCCCAAGACAAGTGGGTTGGTGCCAATCTTCATCAACGCACAGAGCGGCAACTTCCGCCAATCTGGCACCATCACAGTTGGGGCGCGCGGAGACAGCTACTATGAATACCTGCTGAAACAGTGGATACAGAGTGGCAAGAAGCTGGATGTGTAAGAAATACAATTATCTTATGATTGGTTGGTTTGTTGTTTTACGCCGCACTCAGCAATATTCCAGCTATATGACGGCGGTCTGCAAATAATCGAGTCTGGACCAGACAATCCAGAGATGACATGCATCAACCAAGTCAGCGAGCCTGACCACCCGATCCCGTTAGTCGCCTTTTACGACAAGCAATTATCTTATGAGCGAACACTTTAACCACAAAGCTACCCCTGGAACTTGAGAACCTATCCCCAGCACCCTGTGTTTGCTGAAAGGGAAATTTAAATAAGGACTTCATGGTCTGATTGTGTGGTGGTTGTCGTGGACTTGGGGTGACACTGATTGTCATGTACACTGTTCTTGTTTCAGCTTCAAGGAGGACTACGTAGAGGCCATTGCTGGGATGAAGGAGAAACTGGTGCGAAGGTCCGAGCCCAGCAAGCTCCTGTTTGTCGGGGAACTCCTCAGTGGGCGTTCCTTCAGCCCCAAGATGGTAAGTCTATCAGAGTAGCTGGGAGGCATATGGATGGGTACTCATGGATGTGTAGCTCACAGATGGGTAGCTTATGGATGTGTAGCTCACAGATGTGTAGTTCACAGATGGGTAGCTCACTGTGTAGCTCACGGATGGGTAGCTTATGGATGTGTAGCTCAGAGATGGGTAGCTCACGGATGTGTAGCTCAAGGATGGGTAGCTTATGGATGTGTAGGTTATGGATGTGTAGCTCACAGATGGGTAGCTCACAGATAGGTAGCTAACTGATGTGTAGCTCACGGATGGGTAGCTTATGGATGTGTAGCTCACAGATGTGTAGCTCACGGATGTGTAGCTCATGAATGGGTAGCTCACAGATGGGTAGCTCAGAGATGGGTAGCTCACGGATGGGTAGCTTATGGATGTGTAGCTCAGAAATGGGTAGCTCACAGATGTGTAGCTCAAGGATGGGTAGCTTATGGACGTGTAGCTTATGGATGTCTAGCTCACAGATGGTTAGCCCACAGATAGGTAGCTAACTGATGTGTAGCTCATGAATGTGTAGCTCACAGATGGGCAGTTCACAGATGGGTAGCTCAGACATGGGTAGCTCACAGATGGGTAGTTCACAGATGGGTAGCTCAGAGATGGGTAGCTCACGGATGTGTAGCTAACTGATGTGTAGCTCACGGATGGGTAGCTTATGGATGTGTAGCTCACAGATGTGTAGCTCACGGATGTGTAGCTCATGAATGGGTAGCTCACAGATGGGTAGCTCAGAGATGGGTAGCTCACGGATGGGTAGCTTATGGATGTGTAGCTCAGAAATGGGTAGCTCACAGATGTGTAGCTCAAGGATGGGTAGCTTATGGACGTGTAGCTTATGGATGTCTAGCTCACAGATGGGTAGCCCACAGATAGGTAGCTAACTGATGTGTAGCTCATGAATGTGTAGCTCACAGATGGGCAGTTCACAGATGGGTAGCTCAGATATGGGTAGCTCACAGATGGGTAGTTCACAGATGGGTAGCTCAGAGATGGGTAGCTCACGGATGTGTAGCTAACTGATGTGTAGCTCACAGATGTGTAGCTCACGGATGTGTAGCTCATGACTGGGTAGCTCACAGATTGGTAGTTCACAGATGGGTAGCTCAGAGATGGGTAGTTCACAGATGTGTAGCTCACAGATGGGTAGCTTATGGATGTGTAGCTCACGGATGTGTAGCTCACAGATGGGTAGCTTATGGATGTGTAGCTCACGGATGTGTAGCTCACAGATGGGTAGCTTATGGATGTGTAGCTCACGGATGTGTAGCTCACAGATGGGTAGCTTATGGATGTGTAGCTCACGGATGTGTAGCTCACAGATGGGTAGCTTATGGATGTGTAGCTCACGGATGGGTAGCTTCTGGATGTGTAGCTCACGGATGTGTAGCTCACGGATGGGTAGCTAACTGATGAGTAGCTCACGGAAGTGAGGCTCACAGATGGATAGCCGGCAGATGGTCAGCTCAAGGATGTGTAGAACACAGGTGGCTAGCTTACAGATGTGACGTGGTTACAATTGATGAAATAAGCAGCGTATTTGACAACCTCAATTGAATGTCAAACAATATATACATTTTGCATTTTGGTGACAATGTAGGATTCTGTGGAGAGTTGGGGCTCAGCTTTGATTGTCTTCTCATTATTCATTATGGTTGTGGCTATAGCAAGATCCACCACACAAAGGAAACACGCCCTTGATATGTGTAGACCCATGAAGATCCAGGTAGAGAATAGGTCTAAGACGCTACTAACTGGGTCGGGTGGTCAGACTCGCTGACTTGTTTGATGCATGTCACCAAATTCCCTGGATGGATGCTTATGATGTCAATCACTGGATTGTCTGGTCCAGACTCGATTATGTACAGACTGTCTGGTCCAGACTTGATTATGTACAGACCGCCACCATATAGCTGGAATATTGTTGAGTAAGGGGTCAAACAACAGACAAAGACCCTTGATCTGTGTCAGGCCTAGGGTTTGAATGTCACATAGAAGTACAGCTTCTGTTTGTGTTGCTAGGACCACCTGGTGTGTTTCCTGGGCGGGACCCTGGCGCTGGGCAGCTACTATGGACTGGGGGAGGATCACATGGACTTTGCCAAGGAGCTGACTCACACATGTTACCAAACATACAACAAGATGCCCACTAAACTCAGCCCTGAGATCACATACTTCAACATGGCGCCTGGTGCTCAGGATGATCTCATTGTCAAGGTAACCATTAAGCGTCAATGCCAGAGAATAATCAGATTCGATTATCCGCTGAAACAGATTCCATTGAGCATAAAAGGTAAAATAGCGGTGAATGGATCACTGAAAATCAGTGGTGATACCAGGTTGTAATAGGTCTTCAGCTTGCTGTAAAAGGCGACAATGCTTGTTGTAAGAGGATTAGGGGGTCAGACTCGCTGACTTGGTTGATGCATGTTATTGTATCTCAAATGTGTGGATCGATGCTCATGTCGATTACTGGATTGTCTGACAAGCGTTAAGTGCTGATCGTTAAGATTCGATGTCCAGAAGTGAGAGGCGACTAACGGGATCAGGTGGTCAATGTCGCTGACTTGGTTGAAACATGTCATCGATCCCAATTGTGTGGATCAATGATCAAGATATCAATCACTAGATAGTCTGTTCCAGACTCGATTATGTACAGACCGCCGTCATATAGCTTGAATATTATTGAGTGCGGCATTAAACAACAAACAAACAAACTTTAATCATTTGCTGTTAGTGACGATCATACAGATAAACTGATGCTAAAGCTACTTCCACTCACACCTGTCTTGCACCCCAGCCTCTGGATGCACACAACCTCCTGCGGCCCGAGACGGTGGAGAGCCTGCTGTACCTGCATCGCCTCACGGGGGACAAGAAGTACCGTGAGTGGGGCTGGCAGATCTTCCAGGCCTTCGAAAAATACACCAAGATCCCGGGCGGGGGGTACTCCTCCATAAACAACGTCAAGAACATGGGTAGCCCAGGATTTAAAGATAAAATGGAGAGTTTCTTTTTATCGGAAACACTCAAATATTTATATTTATTGTTTAGTGATGATCCAAAGGTTATATCTTTTGATGATTATGTGTTTAACAGCGAAGGACATCCTTTACCAATCAACTGGACATAGCGGGGTGTTCAAATAGTTTGGTTAATTATTGAATGCAAGCATATCTGGTGAAACAGTTCAGTGACAACATGTGATTGTTGAAAGAGCAGGATGTGTGATTTTATGAGATTGCGAATCGTTAAATCAAACTGGGCTCTTTTTTATTACTCGATTAAATTTTTTACGTCTTTGAAATTAAATATGCACATGCAGAATTTTCTTTTAAAATATCAGAAGCTGAAAATAGTGCTGAATGTTCAGCTTGGAATGGTTATTTTAATCCAAATCAAAGACTTATTTCCTTTCCTTATTTAGTTTTTAATTGTGAAATATGTTAAGAAGTCTTCAAAATATTAACTTGATCAGTGTTTATTCTAAATTTGTGAAATCTTTGCTTTGATCAACCAAGTATTGACAAAGCTGAAGCAGATATTAAGTTGAATATTGACTTTAATTGCAATAATTGTTCAGTCTACATGAATGTTAAGTTTATGACATGAGACAGAGTTAACACCATCTTCTTGAGTCCAGGGACTATTTTGTCATTTCGTATGGCCTGTGTGTGATAGTATGGAACTAAGGACATTGTATTGAACCAGCCTAAAATTACCTTATTATCTGGGGATGAAGATAATCACGCTGTTTAGCCATTATAGATGATATGCAAACATTTCATCAATATTTTTAATAACACGAACAAACTCAAGCATATCACACACAGTTATATTCCTACCACAAACTGTTTCTTCCACTGTTGACTTAATGACCAAGACCTCATCACTTTAGTGTTTGAAACACTAGATAATCACTGACCCGTAAAGATACGGGGTAGAATAGGTCTTCAGCAACCCATGCTTGCCGCAGTAGGCGACTATGCTTGTCGAAAGAGGCGACTAATGGGATCGGGTGGTCAGGCTCGCTGACTTGGTTGATGCATGTCTACGATCCCAATCACTGGATTGTCTGGTCCAGACTCGATTATTTACAGACTGCGTCATATAGCTGGAATATTGTTGAGTGCGGCGTTAAACAACAAACCAACCAACCAACTAGATAATAACTGTCACTTAGTATCAAATCTTCTTCCATGTTGTTTACTACACGTCAACAAGACATCAAAACACGTTTGTTAAAGTGTTTCTACAAATAGAAAATATTAGTAATCTTTTATCGAATAACAAGAGATATGTTTATTATGTATTTTCTCAAGTGTTATTCATGATCTTCTCTGAAAAATTTAGTGTTATTGAGGCCTGAAGACTTAGCTGTAACATGTTGTGATAGTTCACTGTAAGTGATATGTTTGTTCACGCCAGTGAGACAACTAGACTTCATCTTTTCTGATATGTAGAGAATCTCACCCTTGTGTCTTTTGATATCATATATATATATACAGTGTTTTACGTGCTGCCAAAATGTGCATCCAGCATGCTCAAATGTAGAGAATGCACGCAGAATATTGTTTTTCTGCGTCCCAACGTGATGCACAATAATAGTCATTGTACCTACAGCTCATCAAAAGCTGTTATCGGTGTCTATTATTTCATCTGTCGATCATGACCACTGTCCACGTGATTATTGGTTCATTCCTTGCTCAAAAGTAATAATCTGAACTACAGTACACGACCACGACACCATTTCACTACTTTACAGGACCCTCATATTGCCTGCAGGACCTTAAATACATTTTGGCGGTCCCCTTGACTTCCCTTTGTAAAACCCTGTATATATATATATATATATGTGAGTCGATAAAAGTTTCAAATTTGGAGACTTAGGAAATATTGTTAGATGTCAGTATGGGATGACAAATACAGTATTTCATCACTAAATACATAATAAATGATGTATGCTGATATGATGTGAAAACAGCACTCACTCAGTGTTGCTCACTATTCTAACGGTGGTGTCAGTGTCACAGCAAGTCACTTCCATGCCCCTACTGCCAGTTGACTCAAGATCACACGGTGATATCCTGTACAGATATGTCGTCCCGATGTCATGGAGCTATATATTATTGCCACATGTTCCCGTGTTACAGTATCTCCATGGCTAACAGATTTGTCAAGTAATGTCACACATTGTTTCAGTCCTTGATAAGTTTATTTAAGAAATAAACGACTCGTGGCTGTCGTTTATCCTATAATAAAACACTGCAGGGAGGTTAAACCATGAGGGGCGCTGCCCACGTGCTTCATTCTCCCTGCAGTGCCACGAGTTGTTTATTTCTTATATGAGATATCAATATGAGATATCATATTATTACTGCCTCTTCAAGGATGTTAATAGAATATACAAGCTTTAAAAAATATTAACCCATATTTAAATAAGGATTACGCCCTGAATAAAATCCGACCTCGGCAATGTCGATCAAGTCCATTTCATGAAATATTGTCTTTCCCACATATGATCTGCACGTCGATTATCTGCACCTTTTCTCCCAATACTGATTGTCATATCTCTCCCACTTTTGCAATCGTTCGACCATTGCGTTTATCTCCATAGCCCAGCTCCATCTAGGGGGAACAACTCTTTAGACACTTCCCTCTCAAAAATAACTTTGTCCAATATATGACTTCATCAAGTTGCGAGTGCTTGTTCAAATCTCCAGAAATGACGTCACGATAGAACAATGTTTTAACGTGAAATAAACCACACTTCATTCTTCATTGTTCTTTGCGAAATATCGCATAGCTATCTAATTTAATTTGATTAGTTTACTATTGTCGAAGACATGAATATCACACAATCTTAAACATTTTGTGAGACTAGTCGAGGGGACCGCTGTAAGACTATTTACTAGTCCTCGGAGTGTGTAGCTAGTCCTGCTTGAATGAGACAGAGTGTTTACTAATAATACTATGTTTACATTGTCTGTCTGTGTTATTGAGTTCTATCTGTTGTAAACTAAAGCATTGAAAACTGGTGCCGAGTTAAAATATATATATACTTGTCCTCAGCACAAAAAGTATTCTCCTGCTACCAGACTAGCATGAATTTCAAAGGCTGATCAATTATAGGAACCTTTCCTAGTTGCTGTCGTGAAATGCTCAGTGAATTGTATGCTGCTGTTTCCAGTAAAACCATCTTTATTTAAACAAAACAATATGGACGGTCATGTATGTTATGGTCTAATATGCCGCTTATAAAGATTCCTTACAGACGAGTCTTAAAATTGTCAGGGGGCCTTTGTTGGAGCAGGACTCTTTATACAAGGAATATGGTATATATGTATCTTTTGTAGTGCTTAACATTTTTCCATTTTTTGTTGTTGTTGTAATAATCAGAAAGCCTTTTGAGCCCAAATGTCTATTATTTCGTTTCATTATTTAATTCCAATTTTGTTATACTTGATTTCGTTTCCTTTACCTTTTTCCAATTTCCATATGTATCAAAATGGCAGCCTCCAGCAAGGAGTGTTGAGTATGTGCTTGACCAACAGAAATAATGTCTTTTGTGATTAAAACTGCCTTGGCGTCCTATATCCATCACAAACCACCCATCCCTCGCCCGTGCATCCAAGCACCGTGTTTTCAGTAATACTGTTTGAAGGGCAGCGTGTCCAGTATTTTGACGGTAACATGTTTACATAATTTACTTTGCTCAATTTATGAGAGGTTTGTAGTGGCCAGCCTGGGACTATGTAAATACATTTGATGAATTATTGTTTGAAAAGTTACTACATGTAGTTTCTTTAATTTTGTTTGCTTTTTGAAGTTGTATTTCATTTTATATAATCTATCAACTTGATAAAAGATAGAGTGGTTGGGCAATTACAAATAAATTATTTTTCTATATTTCTTTTCTTATTGTGGTTTTGACTCGGGTCAGCTGAATCTGTAAAGCGAAACAAACTTGTCAGCTAAGCAGACCACCATAACTACTTACTGATATTCATCTCTTCATGTTGATCATGGTTTGGAAAACATTACTCTTGTATTTTGAAATGAATGATGTGTGTGCTGGGAGGGGAGGTAAGTCTGCAAAATGGCCTTTTGTTTATGTTTATGTGATGGGTCAGTGCCCCCTGGTGTGCTGGGAGGGGAGGTAAGTCTGCAAAATGGCCTGTTGTTTATGTTTATGTGATGGGTCAGTGCCCCTGGTGTGCTGAAACATGAATATGATTTGCGTCTGTTGTGTCCTTACTTCCATCAAGTGTCCTTGCCATGGTCTTGAGGGACGTGTATTGAACATTGTGGGCTATCTGCTGTCACGGCGTGCGATTATGGCAGGGTTGGAAACTGCCTCCATGCCTCCTTGACCACCTCCTTGTCTCCTTGACCACCTCCTTGTCTCTTTGACCACCTCCTTGTCTCCTTGACCACCTCCTTGACTGCCTTTCTGTCTTATTAAAGCCAGATCTTTGTTCTCGCTACGGCTAAACAAATATCTGAAGACATCCCAGATGAACTACCTTTCACAAACTTTCAACAACCACAAACTAGAAGCTCAGCTTGAGCCAATCAGAAAGCAGCTTTCTCGAGCTTTACTAGATTCAAAATAGTGACTTTCTTTCCAGACTGCGCTTGACAAAGTTGGTGAATCAAAATTTGAAAACAAAATTAGATTCTGTCTATTATATGGCTGAGTATGGCAGTACTTCCCTTGGGCTATGGAAAGTCATTCATTTAATTGTTCATCCCATTGAAAGATAGACAATGTCTTCTATTTGGAATCTTTCGAACAGCTCATAATGGTTGTTCGGAATACCCCGTGATAACCTTTTTAAGATTGCATGATTTAAAAAATCATCTTGATTTTCACTTTCTGATCTGGTAAGCGACGCTCTGATTGATTGGATGAAAGGTTGTTCCGACGTGACCAGTAATGGGATGTCCTCAGATCTGTGTGTAACGGGAGCGAGAACTAAGATCTGATTTTAACGAGCTTGACTGCCTCTGTTAATGTCTTAGTCTCCTCGACTGCCTCTTTCACTGCCTCTGTTCCTGTCTTCATCATACATTGCTTCAAGTACAAGGACTTATCTAGGCCTGCTCAGAGGCTGATAATTCTTACCAAACTTCTACCTCTATTACATATCTGACATTTATCCTGTATTGTGGCTTCAATCACACTAACTAAACTTTTCAGATTTTCAACAGACATCCTCTTCACTGTCAATTACACACAATTAGTTGCCGCCAAGTAGTCTCGTAACTACCCACGCCGTGACGTCACAATGGCAGCTATATCACTATTTCCCCTCATCTCCTACTAGAGGTAGATGAATTAGAGAGGTGGGAGGGAGAAATTTGTATGTAATAGAGGTAGTATTCTTAGAATTATTAACAATGATAACTATTGTTCGATATTCGGCCACAACTCCACAGCCAATGTTTCCCAAATGAATAATTTCCCAATTCATTTTTATGTGGTATATCTAATGTGATGGCTTGGTCAAGGTGACTTGTATTTCACTGATAACAGGACTGATAAAGAGAAAGAGGCTTTAATGCTTAATTTGACATTACTGATGAATTGATGAATGCAGTGTTAAAATATAATGTTAAAATGCTTCGGAAATATAAAAAGGAAAAAAAGAAGTTTAAAACAACCCCAATTTTGAACAAACTAACAACATTTCCTCATCTACAATTCACAGGTTAGTATGATGGGGGAACTTAAGTTATTCAAACCCATGAATTATTAATATGCACTTGCTCCAATAATGATATGAAGGAAACACTATGAATACTAAAACATTCATCCCCATGAGGGGGGTGCAGGCTAAAACGGCATCTCAGCAAAACATCCCCGATTTCAACGAGCAAAAATGGCTACTGATTGTTGAGTGAAAACAGCACATCAATTTTATAACACAAGAAGGATTTTTGTGGTAGTAAATATGCTTTTTTCATGGTTTATTCATTGATCATATTTTCTTTACATCACTGGACCATGGACAGCAAGCATTGTGTTTGCATTTGGGAGAGTTAAGCCGTCTTTGAAGCCTGCGAAATGCCGTCATGTTCACTGCACAACATTAGCCGTTTTGTTTTGAGCGGGGTTCTGTTTTTGCCAACTTTGTGCCGTTTTAGCCATACAAGAGCATATCAATATCATCCGAGCACATTGCATCATGGGAGGAGCCAGTTGTTGATGTTTTCCCTTTTACATAGAGTTTATAAGTGTTGATAAACAAAAAAACATTTGGATATGGTATTTTAACTTTGAGAGCCAGGATTCTGTTTTTATTTTTTCAACAATACAAATTATGTATATGATTTGTGTATGAATATTTTTATTCCCCCCATTTGTTTGGGGTATTAATATTAATATTAATATTATGTCATTATGATTCAGATTGTCTTTGCTGAATAGATTGATGAATTGTATACTTCTGAAGATTTGACTGATCTTGCAGCAATAGAAAGTAACAGTCCATTAGTCTTATACTGATAACATATAGCAAAGCCCTTAAAAATGCCAAATTTCTACTGGTCCTTATGATACCTTAACTATTGGTCAGTTTGGCTAGCACAACAGGACAAGTGCCAATTTCTAATGCTGGATCTTGTCTCTTCTGAAGTACACATATTCACTTGAATGCAATAATTCATACATTCTCATTCAACTTGTGTGTTGGTCTTACAAGGCTCTGGTGCACAAAAGAGTTTCATTTTCTAAATGATGTGAACTTATTTTGTGAAATTAAATCTATTGATTATTTGTTCAGACATGAAATATTCATCTTGTACAAGAGTGTGAAGGATTGATGTTAAGAATCCTAAAGTTCTGTTTTCTTGTGAACATTGTATATTTCATATGTCCAAAACACATGTGAATCTCATGTAGAAGTAGAGAACATTGTCATATCAGTTTGCAGTCAAACATAAGTGTAACATGCATAGAACAGTAGAAAAAACAAGCACCTGTCAACTCAATCTCACTATCGTGTTTGTTCAGTTCATGCTATTGGGGGTAGGGGTGGCCCAGTTGTCTAAGGCGTCACGATTCGTTGTGCAGAGTTGCGTCCCTAGGGCACGCCAGAAACATATGATTGTGGATTCGAATCCCGGTTCACCCCGATTATGTTTCTAGGTTTGTCAACACCATACCCGTGCTTTGTGGGTTTAAATGTCTGAGGCCTGCATCACTTCGGGCTTTCCTCCCACATGATATAACTGGAATACTGTTCACAGCGGTGTTAAACCCAACTCACTCACTCAGTTCATGCTATCAAGTTGCTTCATGTTTGCTGGAGTGTTGGCCAAGGATAGTAATGTCTACCATGGATGTATAGATTTTAATTATTTAAGAATTGACTTTCACTTTGTGTAAGTTCATTGGAGTATGAACCTTGATAGAGTGAGGGTCAAACTTCAGAGCTTTACATGGTTTAGTCATCATTAATCAGGTGGACGATCATTGAAAGGTGATTAAAGATGTGTCAAATAGACACCAAGGTGAATTCATTGTTTGCTGTAGACTGTCACTGTCAGCCTAGACACGGATCGAGTCGATACTAAGATAGTTTGGATGTGCATTTCTTTATTTTGTTCACTAGGATGGGTCGTAGCGAGGATATTCATGAACAATCATGCAGTCAAACTCTCGGACTCAAGATTAAAGGGTCTAAATGATCGGAAACAATGCTTCTATATGTATTCTTGCTTGGGTTCCCAAATGAATGCGGAAGTAGTCTGTCAGTGTTTACGTCATTTCAACAGTACAGTCTCGTGATTAACGTCATTCATACACTTTGAACATCAATTTTGTGGTCATGTGACTGACCTCTTGTCCAGTGGAAAAACTGTATGTCATGTTAACTTCAGATTGAAAAAACTACGCCTGTTTTAACACATACTTAGAAGTCCATGGGTTTTCTTCATGTGTGTGAATTAGGGTTTCCAGGGCGCCGGATAGTAATTTGAGCTATTGAGTATTTCTCGCAAATTATCTTTCAAATTGGGTATTGATAGTTTTCTTTTGGTATTCAATATATTTTTCTCATTTGGGTCGAGTCTATTGGTTATTTTTAACACCAATTAGTAGACATTTTTTAAAGAATAATTCTGTTTAAAAAAGTGGTTTTCAGGTGACTTGGAATTTGTATCTGTTCATGTGTTGCCCCAAGTCGGAAACGTTGCATAAACTCACAACAGCGATATGCATGTCTAAGGCTTAAAAAAAATAATAGTCTTGGTTCTCAGGCACCGCTCGCATCATGATAAAGTCAGCCACACATTTCACTTTTATTTCCATTTAAATTTTTCTTTTAAAAAATCCTAATACATCTACTTAAAAACAATGCATTCCAATATAGCACGCAGTTACCTCCCTTTACATCGGCACTGCTTTTCTGCGCATCTTGTGTTATGGTCATGGCAGCCACTGGAGTTTGTATGCTTGTTTATGTAGGGAGGCCCTCTCCCAGGTTGATAGTACACAACTGTTCATTTGGTCACATACTAGTTTGAACAAGAAAAAAACCCAACCACCCGCCCACACTATATTTTCAAAAGTCATTGCCTGAGAACTAATTATTTTCTTTTTCTAAGCCTAATTAACAATAAGCGAGACATGGCACCTTGGTAATGCACTAGTCACAGGAGTAGAGGACATGGATGTGTGATCTCTGAAACTGATTAGTAAATGACGATCTGTAGGAATACAGGTACACAAGATGAAAAGGATACTGGGGTAATTATGCAATTTTTTACTTATCCTGCATTACTCCTAAATGCATAATATACCCTATAGACAGTGATGTGATGCATTATGGAGTAATGCAGGATTAGTATACAAATGTAAAAAAATATTTAGGTTTTACTAAGTGTTGTTATAGTATTGGGTTTCTGAATTTCTCCAACTTAAGTGGGTAGTGGTGACTTTTTTTGTGTATTTACATAAATACACAGCTTATATGAATGTTTAAATGTATTTTTTTATTTTGACATCTTGAACTGGCATTATTTTTTTCACACTTGTTTATTATTTTTTTGAAAATTTATGTTCAACTTCACAATCATACATTTGTGTATGAAGCTAAGACAATGTTTCAAAACTGTCATTGTGGCAGATTTAATCAGCTTGTTGTGGGTTATTGTCTTCGAATTTCAATCAGATGCAATTTTTCTTGTTTTTGTGGATTTAATTTTGCCAAGAGGCAAAATTTGAACTCTGTGTTGATAACAGGAATCTTTTAAGGGAAAGCTATAACAATCAATACATGCCAAATAGTACTTGGTATCAGCATATTTTGTGGTGTGTATGCTTTGAATGTTATTTTTCTATTTTTGCAATATTTGGTCATGTTCCGCTGTAAGATAAGACTATCTTTTTGGCCTTACATCTTTAAATATAATCCAGAACTTAGCAATGGTGTTGGAACGTTTGTTGTTTGGGGGATTACGCCTAGGTTTAGAAAGTATGGTATGCCACAAGGATTGTCTCCCTTTGCTACCCTGACTGCCATTGTTACATCTTGACATTGTGTTCGCTATGTAATGTTGCCGGGGTCTGGATGAAATCAAAACCAAGGATGTTACATTTCATTGAGGTAGGATAATTTTTGGGGGGCAGACGAAGTTATTAGTGCTGGCAATCGTCACATATTTAGTTCCTAAATGAAGGTGTGAATAACTGGGAAAAGTCTGTGAACTCTTGTAAGGATAAACTACTGTGATTTCTATACTGCTCTCCTGGAAACTGTGATGTGTTATAAACACTAGGAACTGTTACTACTAAGATGTGCTTTGGCAATGTTTGATATTGAATTGTTTCGGGAAGAACTAGCATTATTCAAATGAGTGAAAAATGTAGGCTATTCTTCACAATTTACTTCCCTATTTTAGACATTTTGTATCAATAATAATCCAAATGGCAAGAGGCAAAAAAAAATATACAATGTTATCAAGGCTCACTAAATATTCTATGAAAGCTCTTCCCATAAAAGTTTTGATTTAGTCTTTTACTTAAACATTGTTCCATTTCAAAAACAGCAATTTTATTTATTATTTATTTTATTTATTTTTGTTTTATTTTTACTTTACAAACTTTTTTAAGAAGCTCATATGAAAACAAAACAAAACTTGTCTGATCTTAATTGTATTTGTAAACGTTGTTGACCTCATTGACATATTGCTGGGCCAACTGTATGCATATTTACTTCAAAGTCATGAATGAGCGCTCATTGTTGTTGTGTTAAATGTAAGTTAATCCCAAACAACTGTGAGGTTCATTATGCAGTTCTTGTTACAATTTGAAACATATTTCCATCCAGTTATCAGGCAATTAATGAGTGTTTAACATGCTATCTCACATCTTGACACATCATCATGTACCTCCCTCCTGTTATAATATAGTCCCTGGTCCCCTTTGCCAGGCTTTGTTTAAGAAGTGGTGTCACCTAATCCTACCATCTTCCTGTATCAAGGGAGTTAACTGACTGTAAAAGTCCAGTTGCCACTCTTGCCACACTGGGATGGAATTATGGAGTTACGTTTGGGAGGATGAATGAGTCTATACAATAGTCCAATCAAAATCTTGTAACGAAATAGACATCCGGTTCGGAAACTGCCGTGCAGATTTCAGTCAATTGCAGGATTTGCAAAGCATTTATACCGCCAACTCGGCATTAACAGATATTCTCCAAATCTTTTCATGTTTTTAATTAAGGTGCTCACATGATTTGATGCACTTCGTGTAGTAAGACCCGTTTTATCACAATACAGATCTTGATTATCAATCAGATAGTCTTGACTGGGTGTTGTCATTATTTTTTTAAGCAAATGCAAGTGATACGAGAGGTGAAATCTGATTTGAGGGACATAAGGGGACATTCGTCATAGTCAGTGGTGGTGCCGAGAAATTCCAGCCTAGTTTGTCAAGGGTGGAAACTGGACTTTTATAGCCAGTTAACTCCCTTGCCTCAGGAAGATGGCTCCTCCTCTCTTATCCCTAACTTGTCACTCAACCTCTCTCACTCATGAAATCAAAACCAAATCTAAATGCTACTTGGCAGAGATCTTCATGCAAAATCTCTGCCTTGGCTGAGCAAGTCCTTGATATATTTAATCAACTCAGGAGAGATATGAAATAATTTTTAGTGGGAAAAGATGTTCTTGTGTCTTAAGAGGAGAGGGAGGTCATTATATTACAAGACAGTCTGGTTGTATTTGGGAAAGCTCACAAAAGTCGGATAAGTATAAGTCACTACTTGTTTTAGAGATGAAAGAACAGTGAATTTAGATTGACAGAAGCTGTAGTATCCAGCCCTGCTCTATGTCAGGGGCTCCCAGCACTGTTGTCAGTAGGCTGGATCAGGACGTAGTGTTAGTTCAGTTGGTAGCACCGGTATTGCCTGATTTAACTTCTACCTCATTTCACAGTCTTCTAATAAGATAGTAGGATTGATGCAGTCCGATTCAAAGTTTGTAAAGCTGAAGTGTGAATTGCTATCTGCAATGATTTCCTGTATTTTATACAGTTTGTCCGTACTGTTGGTTCTGCTGTCAGCTTATAGTTGCAGTGTGGGCTGCAGTTGCATTGTGGGAGCATGTTGAGGTCTTGCCAGCTTTTGTGCATTACTCAGTGTCTTCCTCTTGCATCCTCTTGCCGTAAGAGGAGACTGATCAGGCTGACTTGGTTGATGCATGTCATCGTATCCCAGTTGCGTGGATGGATGCTCATGATATCAATCACTGGATTGTCAGGTCCAGACGCGATTATTTACAGACTGCTGTCATCAGCTGGAATATTACTGAGTGCGGCATTATACAACAAACAAACAAACAAACAAACATGTGACAGCTGTCATGCAGGGATCACTGTGTTTCATGGTTCTGCAGTACCTTTTAGACACATTGGCTGTTCCCCTAATTTGCAGCTACAAGGGTCTGTATCAATGTAGTGTCGGGGATGAAGCTGTAAGTTTAGGACGCCAGATTGCAATTGACACAAAGTTCATTCATATTGCGCATTTGCATATTGAAGGGCATTTTGACCCAAGTCATTACCAAAAACGAGAAGTTTACATCAAAATGTCTTTATCAGCACCCTGTATTAACTTTATCATTTCAGTGTACTCTTGTGTACACGTGATGAATATTGTGTTCATTTAGATAGTAACAGCTTGAATACATATCAAGACTCGAGTGCAGCTTTAAAATCCGAGTTATTTGAAAACTGGTCCAGAGCACTACTGGAAATCTTATTTCACTAAAATTTCACAATATATATGAATCCATGGTCTCTGATTCTTTCTTGAAATTCTTAGCAATTTTAGTGACATTTTTATTTTTTTTCCTGTAATCCTTGGATACAGGGGGTGAGAAGCCATGTTGCATTTTGTGGGGCCAAGTGTGTGTTCGAGTATTCCATGTTTGTTCACTGAAGTCATGTTTGTTGTTATGTGTATAATTAATAACATCAGTGTACATCAGCAGAAGATGCATAATACTTACTTTAGAGATTTCGTCAACTGACCAGGTGATGTTGTCAACTGACCGGGCGATGTTGTCAACTGACCGGGCGATGTTGTCAACTGACCGGGTGATGTTGTCAACTGACCGGGCGATGTTGTCAACTGACCGGACGATGTTGTCAACTGACCGGGTGATGTTGTCAACTGACCGGGCGATGTTGTCAACTGACCAGGCGATGTTGTCAACTGACCAGGTGATGTTGTCAGATGACCGGGCGATGTTGTCAACTGACCGGGCGATGTTGTCAACTGACCGGGTGATGTTGTCAACTGACCGGGCGATGTTGTCAACTGACCGGGCGATGTTGTCAACTGACCGGGCGATGTTGTCAACTGACCGGGTGATGTTGTCAACTGACCAGGTGATGTTGTCAGATGACTGGGTGATGTTGTCAACTGACCGGGCGATGTTGTCAACTGACCAGGTGAAGTCGACAACTGACCGGGTGATGTTGTCAACTGGCAGGGTGATGTTGTCAACTGACCGGGTGATGTTGTCAGATGACTGGGTGATGTTGTCAACTGACTGGGTGATGTTGTCAACTGACAGGGTGATGTTGTCAACTGACCGGGTGATGTTGTCAACTGACCGGGTGATGTCGACAACTGATGGTTGATGTTGTCAACTGACCAGGTGATGTCAGAAACTGACCGGGTGATGTTGTCAACTGACCGGGTGATGTTGTCAACTGACCAGGTGATGTTGTCAACTGACCGGGCGATGTTGTCAACTGACCAGGTGATGTTGTCAACTGACCGGGTGATGTCGACAACTGACCGTGTGATGTTGCCAACTGACCAGGTGATGTTGTCAACAGACCCAGTGATGTTGGCTGTTGGTGGTAGTTTTGACTATGTTTTGTGAAAAGTGTGAGTAAGTTTCCTGTGTTTAAGCCCATAGCTCATATAATCAAAATGTCAAACTCATGTATATTAATATCTTTCTGATGGCATTTCTGTAAAACCATATACTCGAGAATATGCCAATGTCGGGGTTTGATTGTCAGTGCTACATGTGTGTATATATATATACTACTCGCCATTGATAACATGTTGAGTGTCCAGTTTGGGGTGGTTGAGACCGATTGTTTGGAAGTGTTGTCAAACAAATAGTATCTGATAGTGCAATGGAACTGAACCATGTTAGGCTTCATTTCAAGCTAATTAAACAACAGTACACGATTCAATAACACTTTGGTCACTAGTGTTGTAGAAACAGGATACAACATTTCAGTACCGCTATTAGTGCTCGATTTAACTTGTACCATGTGCCTGTTGGCGTGAAAACCTAGCAGCACTAAACAAAACCAGTTTGCACCCTTGCAACCCGGTCCCATCATTTTATCAAAATATAGAAATTCTCAGATCATGATTAATACAATTCTTAATACAATTAGTGAGTGAGTGAGTATGGTTTTACGCCGCTTTTAGCAATATTCCAGCAGGGGGACACCAGAAATGGGCTTCACACATTGTACCCATTAATACAATTAGTACTGACTGTTACAACACTGTGACAGTGTCATCAATGGCAACCATCATATGATGCATAAATATTATCACAGTAATTGTTGGATAATCTAAATATCATAACGTAAGATGGGCGACGTCAGTGATAGATGAAGCTGCAGTATAGTACATTATCTTAACCACAGTTTGATGACGTCAAGCCCAAGAAAGAATGACAAATTACACATAACACATATTAAAGCCTAGAGGTACTAAGTGTGTTCAAAGATTGATGTGTGGACAAATATGGTTTAAAGAAATGGATCTGTGGATGCCAACTTCTTTATTATGAGGAACACAACGTTTTGGGGTATATACTAACTCTTTCATCAGGTGGGTGGGGCACCGGTGGCCCAGTTGTCTGAGGTGCCGCGATCTGCTGTGCTGAGTTGCGTCCCTTGGGCACCCTAGAAACCTATGATTGTGGGTTCGAATCCGGGTGGGCTCCAATTATGTTTCTAGGTTTGCCAGCAACATACCCATGCTCGTGGGTTTCACCGAAGTGGTAAACGTCTGAGACCTGCATCACTTTAGGCTTTCCTCCCACATTAAGCTGACACGCCGTGATATAACTGGGATACTGTTAAAAGTGGTATTAAACCCATCTCTCTCTCTCTCTCACTCACTCACTCACTCACTCACTCACTCACTCACTCACTCACTCACTCACTCACTCACTCAGGTGAATCATTGTGCATGTACATATAGATATCAGGTTGCATTTTTCAATAAGAGGTTGCACTTGTTCATGTTATGTATAGCTAAATCGAGCCCTGACAATCAATTGTCGAGTAGGACAGGTCAGGACAGCTAATGGTGTGATTGGACAGTCCAACAAGGTGGTCGTATATAGGTCGGGATAACGGACGGTGTATATATGGGGTGTGACTGACAGTCTGTCCTACAAGGTGGTCGTATATAGGTCGGGATAACGGACGGTGTATATATGGGGTGTGACTGACAGTCTGTCCTACAAGGTGGTCGTGTATAGGTCAGGATAACGGACGGTGTGTATATGGGGTGTGACTGACAGTCTGTCCTACAAGGTGGTCGTATATAGGTCGGGATAACGGACGGTGTATATATGGGGTGTGACTGACAGTCTGTCCTACAAGGCGGTCGTATATAGGTCGGGATAACGGACGGTGTATATATGGGGTGTGACTGACAGTCTGTCCTACAAGGTGGTCGTATATAGGTTGGGATAACGGACGGTGTATATATGGGGTGTGACTGACAGTCTGTCCTACAAGGTGGTCGTATGTAGGTCTGGATAACGGACGGTGTATATATGGGGTGTGACTGACAGTCTGTCCTACAAGGTGGTCGTATATAGGTCAGGATAACGGACGGTGTATATATGGGGTGTGACTGACAGTCTGTCCTACAAGGTGGTCGTATGTAGGTCAGGATAAACGGACGGTGTATATATGGGGTGTGACTGACAGCCTGTCCTACAAGGTGGTCGTATATAGGTCGGGGAACCTGATGGTGTATATATGGGGTGTGGTTCCCCTTGTTTTGCCCATCCTCGTCTTTGTCAGAATGTGATCAGGAAAAATGGCTCAATTTTTATGACTTGGACAGTGATGCAAAGCCAAACCAATTGTTTTCAGGTTTATTTCCCAAGACAAACTCTTGAAATAGGTCTTCTCAACTTTACCTACACATACATTTTGAAACACGCTTTTAATTTGCTTTTACATTCACAAATTTTAAGGTAGGCTTGTCACAAAATAAGTTGGTCTGGCCAAATGTAGCTATTCAAACTTAATGCATTCTTCCTTAGAAGGTACTTGTAAATCATCCCCTTTTAACATGTGGCAAATTGTTCTTGGGGGGCTATTATCATCCATACCGATAGAACATTTCAACCATAAGTTGTAACCTCGAGGACTGTTCAAGGGAGGTTTGAAACAGATAGTTTCACTTGAATTTATTATCCCTGGAAGAAAGATTTCCCTAGTTGCCTATTTTACAGTACACGGGTAGACAAGTTCATTGTATTTAGGGAGCACGGGTGGCCCAGTTGTCTAAAGTTCTGCGATTCGCTGTGCAGAGATACGTCCCATGGGCACACCAGAAACCTATGACTGTGGGTTTGAATCCCGGTTCGTCCCAATTATGTTTCTAGGTTTGTCAGCACCATACCTGTGCTCGTGGGTTTCACCGAAGTGGTAAACGTCTGAGACCTGCATCACTTCGGGCTTTCCTCCCACATTAATCTGACACGCCACGATATAACTAAAATATTGTTAAAAGTGGCGTTAAACTCAATTCACTCACTCACTCATTGTATTTGGCTAGCCTTTTGTAATGTTGACTAAAAGAGTGGACTGTTTGATTGTATATGAGTATGACGAGTTAAGTGAATTGACTGTATAGTAGCATATATACCATTTGACATAACATTATTGAATTGTAAGAGCGAAGCACTTCATTGATGGAAAGAATGTCATGGAACTATGGAAACTGTTTAGTGTAATGGCAATAAGCAGTGTCATAGTTCTACAGACTTGTTTTAGGTGTCGATAGAAGAGAAAGTACAAGGTTGATTACAGTGCACACTCTTACAAACTTGCACATTCTTTATTAGAATTAGTTCATTAGCTATTCTTAGTGTTGCTGTCAAACTGTTTCCGCTGATTGTCTCAATATTCTCTACCTCAGTGAGTGTGACTTCAGTTATGCATGAGTGGATACAAGCAACATGGCTTTTGTCCAGTTAGATTTTCAAAGAGTTTAAATGTTTTCAGAAATGTGTTTGAGGAAACTTAGAAATATAACAAACCTCATAGAATAAGGTAATGACACACATTCTACCATGAAATAACTTGATTCTGATTGGTCAATCAGAGGTGGTTAGATCACAATAAACCCCCTTGATTCAACAAGCTGATTTAACAAGTAAATAATATTTTTTACAACCCAAACATGGTTCATTCTGTGGTTTCATTTCAGATTTTTGTCTCGTGTTTGTCCATCATGTCTCTATAAAACAACCAAGCAGTACCTGTTCTGAAGACATGCAACTAATCAATGCTTTAGGTCACCGGTTCGAATCCCGGTTTGTCCTGATTATGTTTCTAGGTTTGTCAGCACCATACCCATGCTCGTGGGTTTCACCGAAGTGGTAAACGTCTGAGACCTGCTTCACTTTGTGCTTTCCTCTCACATTAAGCTGACATGCCGCGATATAACTGGAATACGGTTAATAGTGGCGTTAAACCCAACTCACTCACTCACACTAGCCAGTTGTTGAAGTCAGGGCAGGAGGCTGATGTACAGTGTGTACTGTATTGGAGTGTCTCCTCTCTCCTCTATGTTACACTGTTATTACATGCCGTGCATGTAGCACTTGTGTATACGACTCATATCATGATGTTCATACTTTATATTGATTCTGTATACATTTAACTGTAAATAAACACCTGTGATATATTTTATAATGCCTTGGTTCTTTCCCTTTGTGTGTCCGAAATGGATGGCCAGTGATTTGATCCCAGCAGCATCATGCCAAAAGACGTTAAATGGTACATGTTGTTACCCTGACTGGCAATCAGCATTGAGGGGATGTAAAACAAAGATGGCCGGCTTGGAGTCAGTATGGGGGGGGTCGTGTAGCCTAGTGGTTAAAGCGTTCGCTCGTCATGCCGAAGATTTTCAACATGGGTACAATGTGTGAAGCCCATTTCTGGTGTCCCCCTCCGTGATATTGCTGGAATATTGCAAAAAGCGGCGTAAAACCATACTCAACTCACTGGAGTCAGTATACTGTGGCTTATTGGGTTTTCATGTTAACATGTCATGGTACCTCAAAACATATTATGGGATAGCGATATTGACATTGTTTCATCATACACCAAACTGACGCAGAGTTGGAAATTAAGCAGGGTCCTTGAAGCTTACTCCCCAAGTACCGTATACGACGTAATAAGAGCCCAGGGCGCTCTCAAAAGTAGAAATAGGAGGCTCTTATTAGAATATTATTTTGTCGGAAAAAAACAGAGTTGAAAGATAAATTTCGTGGTTTATGCCGACAGCCTGAAATGTTTATATACGAGAGATGTATTTTTCCAGAATTTAATTGCCCATAATTAAGGGTGCACATGAGTGCATATTATACGCGAATAAATAAGTATTGTGTACATTGATCAATCGAAAAGGGTGCTAATTGGGATTGTTCACGAGCCAATATATTAGCAAATATCGCCGTGGGCTCTTATAAGAGTGGGGTGCTTATTACGTCAAATATGGTATATGAATCTAGGACCCCTTGTAGCATTAGGGCCATGTCAAGGACCCCTGACCCTTCACGCTGCAGTTTGAACACTGTATATACACAACTGAAAACAGGAAAACATCACCCCTTCTTCAGTATCACATGCCCCATCTTCTCCAGGCAAGGGAAGTAACTCTTAGTCAGTTAACTCCCTTGCCTCAGGAAGCAACATACATATCCCAACTGACCTGTATCTTTTAGAAATATCTACATATGGCGTTGATCTCAATTTAATAGATGTCTGATATGCCAGTGATACCGGTTGGAACTTCGGTACAAGATCACCGTATATTCCGCCTGATGGGCACAAGAACTGAGTCTTAACATACGTCGCAAAGCAGAGTGAGCGAAAAATAAGATCGTCCAATCACAATGTTTGGTTTCTCTTTTTCAATATGAGTATGTCACTTTGTAAAAAATAACAAATGTATTTCCTCCAAAAATTAATAAACTATACATTTATTAAAAATGGATACTTTTTATGAATATATACAGTTAGAGGTACTTTACTTCCGTAGGTGTATATTTTTAATACTCTTAAAAGTAAACCCTGCTTAACAAGGTGCTTTCATTGGGTTCTGAGCAAGCCATTCTGTGCCAGGCAAAGGTATTTGAAGCAACATTGGACAGTTCGCGGATGGGTGACCTCGGAGAGTTTCTAGGTTTCGGTCCTGCACAAAAATAAACTAGGTTACATGTGGTGTCTCCTTTGGGAAGTGATTTTTTCCGAAATACGCCTCTGTTCACCAAGCTGTTACCACTTAGAATGAGGTGATAATGTGACTAAACCTCTTCAGACACCTGGGGTTGTATAGATACTCCCCAGGGATTCAAGAATAAGATCACTGCATACTGATCCATAATGTACCTTTGTGAGCTTGCACATCTGGGTGAATTCAGCATGTAACAAATATGTTATTTATATTTTTTAATTTGAAAATTAAAAAAATTGTTTGAAATATCACGATATTTAGATACTCAGCAAAAAAAAATCTCAAAAGTTGTAAAATCATAAGTATCTGACAGTGTTGCCAACATCCATCCACAATTCATACCTGAAATGAATTGGGTATTTTTGCATGGATTCAGCTTATAAGCACCCCAACCAACATCAATCTGTACAAGTTCCCCCTTACTAAGCTTGAAAAGTTACATGACTGTCTTGTCTTCAACATCCCTTGCTTGTAACAGGTGTCTGACCAGATTGGGTGGTCAGTCTCGCTGACTTGGTTGATGCATGTTCTCATATCCTAATTGCATAGATTGATGCTCATGACAATCACTGAATTGTCTGGTCAATACTATTCTTTAGAGACCAATATCATAGAGTGTTGCGTTAAACAACATGATGGTCCATATTTTCTGTAAATTTGATTTTTTACCAGAAAACCCAGCAGCATAGGAGTATATTTGCGTAATTGTTTTACCGATGTTTAAACCAAGTGTGTTCACTTTCTCCGACTTTTAACTTGTGTATGGATTTAATAAGCATCCCCCTTTTTCAATTTTCTAAGTGGGCTCAGCTTGGTACAGTGAATAGAGTGTACACTTGAACCACCACTTTTTGCCACAAACTGAAACACAAGAGTGCTCTGAGAGCACTACATCCCCCGCATAAATTTTTTTAACAAGTTTATATTTTCTTTGTATTTTTCATGAAGCTCCGTAAAACAGGGGCAGTAACTGTCAAAATTTGTCGAAATGAAACGGGACTGTGATATGCGTATCATCATGTCTACATCTTGTGTGTAGAGTGTCAGGGATATTCTCTGGAAACTGGAGGAGGAGCAGATTTCACAAGCTTAGTACCCTCTCTTACAATTAGGCAAATGAAGCTCCGTAAAACAGGTGCAGTAACTCTGTCAAAATTTGTCGAAATGAAACGGGACTGTGATATGCGTATCATCATGTCTACATCTTGTGTGTAGAGTTTCAGGGATATTCTCTGGAAACTGTAGGAATTGATTTCACTAGCTTAGTACCCTCTGTTGGACGGACAGACGGACTGCGCCACGACATAAATTATAATTCCCCTTCGGCCATTCTGGCCCGGCAGGGGATAAAAAGTGCTGCCCAAGAAAATTTAGAATTAACAAATATGCCTAAAATACTTTCTTATTAACATATACCCGAGCTACAGAGGGTAGTGAAAGTAACATTGTTTTGACACTATCCCAGTTGTGAAGTATCATTGTGTTGTGATTTTGACCTACACATTTAAGAAACAAGCTGTTTTGAGACATTAAGAAAACATCAAAAAGAATAAATGACCTACCCACTGACCAGTGTGTAGAGAACAAGTATTTGACATATGCATGTTGAAGAAATAGGCTAATATTTGCGTGGAGTGGCCAGGAAATGTCACTATATATCTTCAGTAGATTTAAGGGTCAGATTTAATAAACATTACCTTGGCCTACAAAACCAAAAGAAATTTTAATGGGACTGGGACTATGGCTAAAGTCGCATATTGTCACTTGCCCCGAAGACCTGTCTTGTGGACACAGTGAACCCATGTGGCTACCATCGCAGACTGACTGACTTTATGCCCTGTCCATAAAGGTGTCCTTTTACACTCACAACAGAACCAACATGTAACAAATAAATTTTATTTCTTTCAACATTTTTACACTTTCATTCATCATACAGCCACAATGCACTCCAGCTTTCATTCTGATGATAATGAGATGTATACATATATACACACACCATGCGATGACTGCGTACACAAGAGTGATGAAATCACATACGCCAGCTATAAACAATCAGGACATCAACCAGATCAACTGAAAATGTCAAAATCACAGAAAAATCAATTTCTCAGCCTTTGAAATTTTGATAATTAATCTGAATGATGTCATTTACCTTACAAAATAAATAGCCTTCTGCAGACATCTGCAGTAACAAAAATATACTACTCCCTAAAATTCCCAAAACTTAAAACATAAGTAAATTTTCAACCCCATGCTCGAGATTCACGAGGACAGTTCCCTGCAGGTCAGAATATGTTCGTATCACACCAAGTTTCAAAAACTCCAAACTGTCAGTTTTGCTTCAAAGTGTGTCTTGATCACATTTGCAGTTTTCATTGTTAATTCGATTACTGTCAGAAATCCAAGTGAAAGTTAAATAAATAATTCACATTTAATTGAACAAAGTATTTCTCCACTGTTGAAGTAAGGGGTACTTGATGGTACGTGCTTCGTAATGAAATGTCTGGTCCATGAGATGAGTCTTTTCATGACAATATTTATAAACCAACCCTACATCGCGCCACTCTCACAACTCGTCGTGATCTCCATCCTCTCCTGCAGGTGGAGGAGGTCCCCCCTCTCCGCCCGCACCTCCTGCTCCCTCGTAAAGTTTGCTCATGATCGGCTGCACAATTTCTTCAAGTTCCTTCTTTTTGGCTTGCAGCTCTTCTGCATCAGCATCAGGGTTGCTTTCCAACCATTTAATCTTTTCATCGACTGCTGCTGTGATTGTGTCCTTATCTTCAGAGCTCAGCTTTCCTCCCAACTTTTCCTTATCCCCGAGTTGGTTTTTCAATGAATATGCGTAACTCTCCAGCTCGTTCTTTGCTTCCACCTTTTCCTTTACCTTCTTGTCATCATCTGCGTATTTCTCTGCATCGTTGATCATACGCTCGATATCTTCAGGTGACAAGCGGTTGTTGTCGTTCTGAATAACAATGGCCTCTTTACTGCCTGTGCCCTTGTCCTCTGCTGTTACTTTGAGAATACCGTTAACATCGATCTCGAAGGTGACCTCAATCTGGGGAACACCACGAGGTGCTGGGGGGATTCCGGTAAGATCAAACTTTCCGAGAAGATGGTTATCTTTGGTCATTGGTCGCTCACCCTCAAACACCTGGATGGTGACGGTGGGTTGGTTATCAGAAGCTGTGGAGAAAATCTGGGACTTCTTGGTAGGGATCACAGTGTTTCTGGGGATGAGTTTGGTCATCACGCCTCCAACGGTCTCGATACCCATAGTGAGGGGGTTGACATCGAGCAGGACGAGGTCACCAGTATCTTCTTCTCCACTCAGAACGCCGGCCTGGACGGCAGCACCGTATGCGACAGCTTCGTCAGGGTTGATACCACGGTTGGGCTCCTGTAAGAGGAAGGGCATACATCAGACAAAAATACTTTACATGAAAAGAGCAGAGAGTGAATGATGTGAGTCAGCATGTTTCTAACTGGGGCCTGTAAGGAAGTCTTGACCAGGATTCAAAACAACTTCACCAATCCGAGTGATTAAAGATTTCCTTGTGGGCTAGAACTTTCACCATTAGGAAAATGGCAAATGATATTACATATATCAAAATTAATTCTCTACTGTACAGTTGTCACCAGTTCTATCCCATTTCAATTGGCATGTCTGAACTAGAGACCTTCTAAATTCCTGAATCCCACAGGGAAACTGAACAAATAGTATGAATGTACTGTGTGCAATGCAACATAAGAACTCATTGATAACAATCCCAGGACTTGAACGTGACTGACCTTGCCATTGAAAGACTCCTTGACCAGCTGCTGAACCTTTGGAATACGGGTGGAACCTCCGACCAGAACAATCTCATCGACCTCGGTCTTCTTCAGGTCAGAATCCTCCATAACTCTCTGCACTGGCTTCATGGTGGAACGGAACAGGTCCTGTTGAAATAAAAATAATAATAAAAATAATAATAAAAAATAAAAATAAAATTTAAAAAAATTTAACATGTCTAGGATCTTTTTCATCCCATGAGAAAAGAATTACATTACAAAGTGGTCACTTACAAATTACCTGCATGCCATAATCAACCTTGTAATTGTTAACACAGACAAGTGATGACATCTACTCACCATGTTCAGTTCTTCAAACTTGGCTCTGGTGAGAGTCTCAGAGAAATCTTCACCCTCGAACAGAGATTCAATTTCGACACGGGCCTGGTGCTGGGAGGACAGGGCCCTCTTGGCCTTCTCCACTTCACGACGCAGTTTCTGTACAGCACGGTTGTCCTTCCTCAGATCCTTGCCCTTCTTCTTCTTGTACAGTTTGATGAAGTGGTCCATGACTCTCTGATCGAAATCCTCACCACCTGAACACAATGAACCCTTGTCATGTCATTTCAAAAACATAATTCACTGGCATGACAATTTATCAATTGAACCCAGCAGTCATTTTTTATACAAACACCAAATAATACTGAAATGGGTGACCGGAGAGGTTGGGCTAGCAGACACAAATGTCTTTGACATGGACTAATGTATGGAAATTGTCTTAAAAACCTTGACATCTAGTTGCCTGAACATGGCTCTTAGCATAATTTCAGCCACATGGACTGTTATTGACCGAGATTACCAGACCGAACAGATCTTTACTAGACTTAGACAGGTCACACAGTGCCACCACCTGATTCACAATGAAGCGCCACGAATAAAGGGAGGTAACTGAAATGCTACTATGCACTGATTACCTCAATTGATCAATGATTGTGAGGTTCACTTAGCGACTTACCAAGATGGGTATCTCCATTTGTGGCAACTACTTCAAAAACGCCATTGTCGATTGTCAGAAGGGAGACATCGAAAGTCCCGCCACCGAGGTCAAAAACAAGGATGTTCTTCTCTCCTTCCCTCTTGTCAAGACCATAGGCAATGGCAGCTGCAGTCCTGAAACAGGAATGAATGATTAAATAAAGTTAACTATTGACCAAACAAACATCTTGTTAAACTTAAAATGAATAAATATTGATCAAGCAAAGAGCCATCAAATAAATTATGTTGTATTCAGCTATTACTACTCATGTAACAAATTTATAAACTCATTAAAACTTACGGCTCGTTGATGATTCTCATAACATTAAGTCCAGCAATGGTTCCGGCATCCTTGGTTGCTTGCCTCTGGGCATCGTTGAAGTAGGCGGGGACAGTGACAACTGCGTTGTTGATTTTCTTGCCAAGGTAAGCCTCAGCAATCTCCCTCATCTTTCCAAGAACCATAGCTGAGATTTCCTCAGGAGTAAACTGCTTGGTATCAGAGCCAACCTTGACCTGAACAACGGGCTTATCTTTCTTGTTGATAACAGTGAATGGGAAATGCTTCATGTCTGATTGAACTGATGGGTCGTTGAAGCTACGTCCAATCAGACGCTTGACGTCAAAGACTGTGTTCTCAGGGTTGGTGGTCAGCTGATTCTTGGCTGCATCACCGATGAGACGCTCACCATCAGGGGTGAAGGCCACGTAGGATGGTGTGATTCGATTACCCTGGTCATTGGCGATAATTTCAACGCGTCCATTCTTAAACACTCCAACACTGAAAAATAATTTGAATTGTTAAGGTTAGTCTCGAGGAACTCACTTTAGAGGGCAATCAGCTAGATTTTAACAGGAAGCTATGATCCACAGGACTAAACCTTGCAATTTAAGCTGAGGAGTTGTGCAATTTTCGAATTTCAAATAGTGCCACAAGGAGATTGAGATCATGTTGCCAGCTTGAAGTTGAGCTAGACTAGTGAATTAATCAACCGTAATTAGCCAACACTTTACTGCAGGAACAAATATATTCATAAACCGATAGATCTACATCACAGTACCTGCTGTTTTAATGACTTTACTAAACGACACTCTAAGCAAATATTAGTTAAGCCTGGTCTATGTTCAAAGTCAAAGACTTAAGTATAAGATGCTCTCTGGTTTAGGTATCCATCACTTACCATGAGTAGGTTGTTCCCAGATCAATACCAATGACAGTGCCAACACCGTCTTTGTCTTTTTCTTTCTTCTTATCCGAGTCTTCTTCATCTTCGGCTCGCACCGACGACATGGCACCCAGAAACAGTGCCAGTAGGCACAGAGGTAGCAATGACTTCATTTCTGAAACACAAATTGTCTGTCAGTATATATAATCAACATATGCTTGATTATCAAAATGAATATCAAGAGTAAAACAGTGGTTGAGGCAACTAAAGGAAATTGTATATTCAAATGGTCTCATTTCTTCACTTTACACATTAGGCCTGGTAAGGGTCAATATTTTCCATATGAAGATATAGCTTACATGAAGTTGATCTAGGCTAAGTCCAATCTAATAAATTACGAATCACCCGAAATATGTTGACATTGTACATTCGTTACATATAGACAGCGTTGGTGTATGATAGATGAAAATCATGTTGAAATGTCAGTTAAATTGTTGCACGTAAAAATTTTGCAAGTGCCAAAAAATGACAGACGTGTCAAATGGGCGTGTCCGTCTGTTGAAACAGAAACTGTCTTTACATCTAGTCATGAAAGTATCATTCGTGGGATTGATTTTACGTTCCTAATCCGAAAACGATGTTGAAAATATATTCTCGCTGAACGACATATTCGTTATCCTGCATTAACAGATACCGGCGAATACATGTGGCATATTGTAATTCCACTAAGACCACGTTTTACCGGCATGAAATATGAATCAGACGACAAAAATTAATGACAGGAATAAACTCACCTTGCTTGTGTACGATTGTATGTTGATCTTGAATAAATGTGTTCAAGTAAACACCACAATCTGGCTTCAAATTATCTTACGTCGATGTTCGCTTGTCTTCCTTCTTGTGAGAATTTCTGATCTGACCTTACACTGAGTGCTAAATACAGCATGCAGCCTTTCTATTATAGCGGAACTGGTCGTGTCGAAAAGCGATTGGTCAATAGTGATGCGAATCGCAATTTCATTGGCTTAGTACCCGTCAGCTGGAATGCGCTGATTGGTTGAGCTAAAGGGTACCTTGTCAATTTCTCGAAAAGACACGTACACATACGAAAACAATCGACTTTTCAACGAGTGTGTAAATGATACTGACGAATTACACGCAATAGTTGTGTGTAGATTTCATCATTAATACACGTGTACTTAAACTGATAGATTCATACAAAATATATTGTATTTAGTTGTTAGCAATTTTACTTCGGCATATTTCGTCAAATGGCGCGAATGATTAGAAACCGGTTTCAGTTCATAATGCAAATACATCCTAAAACGGGATCCGGTTAATATCTGAGGAAAAATACTCCATTGCGCATCTAGCGCGCATTTACCATGCGGTTTGACCATGCTCGTCATAGAATGGGGAAGACGTAGGAGAGACGAGATGTGTTCGAAGAAAATGAGCTGCCCATGTAAGCTATTCGTAATTGCTATGTATAAGTGACCGATATCGACTACAGCACATGATGATTATATTGCATGTTACTATATGGAGGTGTGTCTTGCTAAGAGCCTGCATTTTCCTATTTTAGGTGTTCACAAATTTAAATGAGGCAACCACAATGGCGGAGCCACGTGGTCGTGGGGTATTAATTTCTTTTAGTCTACTGGTTCACGAATAGGTCACTACTACTGTATGTATATCATCGGTGCCAATGAAGAATAATTTATCCTCTTATCTCAAGAAGTGAAGACACTGTCACCAAAACTGAGGCACCGAAAACTTAGCCAGAATGTGTTGCTGTTAATATTTATTCAACTGCCCGATTTTGCGTAAGTCTTTACTTAGACCTGAAAGGGAAACCAAACTGGAATTTAGAGCTTGATGCAGAGAACATACATTTCACTCGCCGAACTTCAATTTCTACTTTGTAAATTTGTCACTTCATCAACAGGGCAATGCAATGGATTCGTCTTGGTCTTTCTACTCTTGAGTTGGTAGAAGTAGCATGATCATGACTTCACGTCAATGTGAATTATATATATGTGTATAGTGAGATATGAGTAAGAATTTAACATTGTATTCAAGCCTCATTTGGCTAAAGTTCAATGGCCAATGAACTGCCCCAGGCATCTAATTAAAAAGCAGATTAGATAACCATAGGTTACAATTGAGTTGTATAACTGTCATTGTGTGATGAATAGCAAATGGTTAGATCAATCACTTAAGTATATATAGCCCCTGTCAACAGTTTATAACGATCTTAAATGTATCCCCTAAAAAAGTTTGACTTCAAAGAATCAAGCGGGTAAAACGCCTAAAGATGCTAGATCTAGTTGCCCATGGCAGTGTAGACATCTGTTCTTGAGGGTTTTACCATGAGGCATTTTAGGACTGCATTTTAGGACTGGTTGACTGAAAATGTCAAGTTTCTGTAGTTACTGACATCCATAATGGTGTACTAGTAGTGTCGTAAGAGGCGACTAATGGGATCGAGTGGTCAGGCTTGCTGACTTGGTTGATATGCATGTCATCGTATCCGAATTGCGTAGATCAATGCTCATGAATTGTCTGGCCCAGACTCGATTATTTACAGACCGCCGTCATATAGCTGGAATATTGCTGAGTGTGGTGTTCAAACAAACAAAACTAACGAAACCAAAACATAGTGTTGGTCATGTGTGTAGTGGTATGCCTCTGAGTCTGCCATTTGAAACAGTGAGGATATTGCTTGCCGATGATGTTACACATATTTGCTACTCTTGATTGCAAAAATGACGAGAAATACCATCACTGAGGCAAACAACATTGTCAGGTTAAATCGGCTCAGACGTGGCCACTGAGAAAAAACATGCATGTTAATGTACCTTTCCCTGTATGTAATGTCAATAACATCTGAAATGTTGATAAGTTTCTCATGATGTTACCCTTGCTGATGCCTTTCAGATTACGGGAACAATCGCATAACGTGAGCGGCTGCTGCGTTGGATAACAGCTGTAAGTATATGTCTTGTGGGTGGTAGTGTGCCTCTCCTTTAATCTTTAACACTAGGGTTATCTGTTGGTTCTAAGGGATAAATATATCAGTCTGTGCTGAAAACATGAGTCTGTTAGCCTGTATTTGGATCATAGCCTTTTAGTATGTAGGAACCTTTATTAGTTGAGTGTACTGGACCACACTTTGTAAGGAGACTTCAGCTGCTGTCTGGTCAAGGCAAGACTAGTGTATTAGACTTGTGACGTTTACCACAAGTCTGAAGCCCAAGTCAGCGTTAGAAATTGGCACTAGTCCTGTAGTCCTTACCAAACTGCCTAATAGCAGAAATTGGCCCATTTTAAGGGTTTTGCTATACGTTATCATTATAAGGACTAGTGGACAAAAGCTGTTAGTTTCTAACCCTGCAAGTCCATGTTCAGTCTGGTCTAGTCAGCTTGGCTAATAATAGGCCATACGAGAGACTAACATGTTGTGAAATTGGTTCAATGAGCCATGTATGGGCTAGTAGACTAAGTTTTTGGTGCCATATAAATATCGGTCCTAGATATTGCTGAGTGATGAGATCATAGTTCAACTGCAATCATCTGTGTTGAATATTTGAAAGTAGCCTGACAGTGTGATTCATGAGACCGCAAGTTCTGACCCACCACTCTTGTATATAACTCTATTGTCTGAGAAAAATATCCATTGATATGAATTTGTCAACTGCCGTTCCAAGTTTCTGTATATTAAGGTATGTCTCTCTTTTCCAGCACATGCCGTTTCCATGGTATTCCTGTTTCTACAGGTAAGATATGAATGTTTTTCCTTATCTACCTGCGTTGATTATCTCCCTTACCTGTGTTGATTATCTCCCTTTCATTGGCAGTATATGATGACAACTTGGGAATCTCTCTGAAATTTCTGAAAGACAACATTTTTATCTGATACTGCCAATATTTGGGGAACACTTCATGCATGCTAGTAAAAATGAATTTGGAAAGGAATACACATACAGCCATTACAAAAATTGCTGCTTTGGTAGTGGAGCTGTTGGAAGCTTGTGGTTCAAGACTCACATGGGGCGATGGGGTAGCCTTGTTTTTAAAGCGTCGGCTCGATACTCAGAAGATCAGGTTCGATTCCCCACATGGGAACAATGTGTAAAGCCCATGTTCCGCTGTCTTTCCTCCCCCTCCCCCCCCCCCCCCATCCCATGATATTGCTGGATTATTGCTAAAGGCTGTGCAAGACCATGCTCAGTCACCATAGACACTTGGCTAATGTATATTTCTTGTTGCAGATACAGTGATGTCCGATCAGAAAATACCCCTTAATACATCAGGTATGGTATTAAATATTTAAGTCAGTAGTCTAGTAAAATGTTATTGCAACCGTACACCCTACATGCTCTGTGATGAAGATATTGAACTCTCTCACTGAAATAATTGTTGACATTTTCTTTCTGAGAGCATATTCACTGTCTATCAGACATGTACACATCATGAACTGTAACCGTTTGTGGTCATAGCAAGTTCATATTTTTCAAGGGATTACAAATTTCTCTTGTAGCATGTCTCCACCCAACCAACATTTTCTGAGATTCTGACGGGAGGTGCAGGCGGGGGGCCTCTGAAAACTGCGACAAATGCCTATTCCTATTTAATAACTGATAGTTACTTATTTTATATCATATACAAACATTTTACTTGCTACTGCTCGTTGGTAAAATTAAGGTCAACATATCCAGTGTTACATTTAGACTATTACGTTTAGATAATTACACGTTCTGAATTACAGCCAGTGTTAGTTGCCTGTACTTCATTTTGAACTCACAAATTCATTAAAACTGAGCATTTTTAATATTAATGAGTATTTGTTTCTGTGTACTGAAACAGATGTCTGACCTTGACATTCAAAGGTGATTGTTCACTGTACTATCAGTTCTGAATATTTGCTTAGATTACATAACATTTAGAACATGTTGCACTGAAGCGTGACATACTTGGCTATCAAATAAACTGTTTGTAAAGATGGCTAATATTCAGTACAAGGTGACTGCCAAACTTGCATGTCTTCGAAGGCACTTAATTAAAAAAAGGTACTTGAACTTTTTCATGCATCATATTAGTATACATGGTATGGTACCCAAGTGAAAATACATATTACCCATATTTAAGAAGTTGAAGACACTTGATATAACTTTGGTATAACACTGCATGTTTTTATGCAAAATCAAGAATTGGTCAGCTTCAACCAAGGGGTTAACATGATGCTATATGTGACGGGCGGACTGAACTTGCTGTAGAACGTCCCCTACACAGGTCTGATTAACCCTGTTTACAAATTCCCAGTCGATGTGTTTATCGTGTTTGTTCCAAAATTGTTCTGGGATCATTGGCTGTTAAGTGCATGTGTTCCTGAACACAGTTATGCCCCTTGTGAAGGATCTGTTGACGAGTATTTACCCAGGTGCCTCTGGTTATGATTTGTAATGGGTGTCCGGCCCATGGTTTTCACCAGTGATAAATATCAAAGAATGTGCTGTGATGTAACTGAAATAGGATTCAAACTCTTCCATCAAATGTTAGTTCTTGAATTTTACGTTTACTTTTTCTAGTCAATGGGAAAGTTGCTGGAAGCTGCCATCCGTCACACATCGACATGATTGATGTAAGTGTTCAGAAATACATTGACATTACATTACAGACCAGAGTGCAACTTAATACAACAAATAGATTTAATGCTTTTACTTACACACTGAGGCTTACCCCAAACATAATTTGATTTGTTTTATGTGAATATTCAAGTTGTGCCATTGCTCATGATGACTCCTTGATAGGGCAAAATGATAGTAATGATTATCGTTATCCAGAGCTGATGGCATTGGTCCACAACTGTTCACCCATTTTAAGAGGGCGTACTGAGTATATCTCCCCCTGATTTCTTATGACTATAGTTTATCTGTACGTTCATGCCCAATGTTTAGATTCGGGAAAGAATTGGTCTTCAGCAACCAATGCTTGTTGTAATAGGCGACTTACAGGATCGGGTGGTCAGGCTTGCTGACTTGGTTGAGGCATGTCATTGTATCCCAGTTTGGTAGATCGATGCTAATGTCAATCACTGGACTGTATGGCCCAGACTCGATTATTTATGCTGCCGTCACGTAGCTGGAATATTGCAGAGTGCGGCGTTAACAAATGTGGTCTGGCTGCACGTCCCAGATAGTCACATAATATTGCTGATAACGCGTAACACAATGACTTGAGCATGCTGACAATACCTCTCACTGGCTGTTAGACAGTTCTCGATTTATTATATTTTTTATCTGCTCTGAGTGATGACATCATAGTTCAACTGAATAATCCATGTTGATACACCATTAGTCTTTCGCTCCTATCTGACAGAGCAGCATGTCCACATTATCCATGTGATCCGACAACACAACTGTCAATTTTCTGATCCTACCTTATATTTTATTTTCAGTGTGACATGAATCTGGCTTGAGGGCAGCATGACAGGATGGAGGTTCCACACAATGAGATGCCTGTGATAAAAGGTATCTAAAATCTTCATTTTCCAGACTTAATCTGTGTTCTTTAATAATTTTCAAACAAACAAAATATTTATATAGAGTTAATAAACTGTTACCAACAGAGACCATTTTTCTTGCGACCAGTTTGTCCCCTAATGTTGACATATAAAATCACTGTCGGATTCAACTCAAGACTTCAATATTGTTCAATGTGATTTTACTGAGAACTAAGATAGGAAGATGCGACTAACGGGATCGGGTGGTCAGGCTCGCAGACTTGGTTGATGCATGTCATGGTATCCCAATTGCGGAGGTCCATGCTTATGTCAATCACTGGACTTTCTGGTCCAGATTAGGTTTACAGACTGCTGGAATATTGCTGAGTGCAGCGTTAAAAAACAATAACTTTGTAATCTGCTCTGAGTGACGCTATCATAGTTCAAATGCAATCATCCATGTTGATACCTCAGTCTTTCGCTCCTATCTCAAAGAGCAGCAGCTTTGAGTGATTAGAAAGCGAAAGTCACTTTTCTAATCCTAATACTTGTTTTCAGTGACATCAAGAAGCTGTCTTGAGTGCAGTTTGACAGGGCACAAGTTTGGAGATTCTATCCTAGATGGCCAAAGGTAACAATGTGGTCATGATTTACGATGCGTCTGTATACTGGTTATTTAGCATCCCTGTCAAACGGGACTGATTACAGGTTTTGTCAGATTGACAGTCACTGGTGATTCTTCTGGTGTCAAGTTGAATATGGACAGGGTGCCTTTTCATAAGACTTCTAAATGGCCTTTGGAATTTTGGCACTAATGAAAGGGTCATGGTCAGACTAATGCTTTTAAAATTGTTTATTATATACCATATAGGATATACCATCTATTAATAGCATTTACCGTTTATAGAGTTTGGTCCTGCCTCGAAAAGTTAGTTTTAGATTAATGGTCATGTTCATTTTGATGTATCATGTTCATGAAAATGTTGTCTGTACTTGAATTTTACTTGTTCAATGGAAATATCAAGGTTAATCCAAGGGTATAGGTAGTCTCCCCTGACTCATGTGACATTACTCGACATTAATGAGAACAGACAAGTTGTGCCATTGCCAGTGATGACTCCTTGATAGGGCAAAATGATAGTAATGATTATCGTTATCCAGAGCTGACGGTACTGGCAAACAACTGCTGTTTCCTGATGATTGATATTCCAGGATTTTGCAACCCATGAAGATTCGGGTTAGAATAGGTCTTAGTCTTAAGCAACCCATGCTTCTTGTAAGAGGCAACTGCTGGGATCGGGCTGTCAGAATGGCTGACTTGGTTGATGCATGTTATCGATCACTGGATTGTCCTGTCCAGACTTGATTATTTACATACTGCCATCATAAATCTGGAATATTAAATGGTGCAGCGTTGGACAAGCCAAACAGGGATTTTGCTGGAATGTGATTTTAGAAATCTTTGCAAAGGTAGCCAGTCGTTTTTCTTGAGTTATCTTCATTCAGATGGGAGACAAAATTAGAGATTAACATGATCAGCTGGTCAGGCTTGCTGATTAGCATGATGCATGTCATCGATCTCAATTGCGTAGATGGATGCTCATGTCAATCAATGGATAGTCTATTTACAGACCATCATATAGCTGGAATATTGCAGAGTGCAGCGTTAACAAACGTGGTCTGGCTGCATGTCCCAGACATGGCCACATAATATTGCTGATACAGCGTGACAGTGACTTGAGCATGCTAACAATTTCTCTCTGGCTGTCGGACAGTTCTCGATTGATTATATTTTTGATCTGCTCTGAGTGATGACATCATAGTTCAACTGAATAATCCATGTTGATACACCATTAGTCTTTCGCTCCTATCTGACAGAGCAGCATGTCCACATTATCCATGTGATCCGACAACACAACTGTCAATTTTCTGATCCTACCTTATATTTTATTTTCAGTGACATGAATCTGGCTTGAGGGCAGCATGACAGGATGGAGATTCCACACAATATCAGATACCTGTGATAAAAGGTATCTAAAATCTTCATTATCCAGACTTACTGTGTTTTGAAATATTTTAATGCCCGCTTTAAACAAACAATATTTGTATATATTCAGTTAATATAAACTGTTGCCAATACAGACCAGTTTTTTTTCTTGTGACCAGTTTGTCCAAAAATTGTGTCAACATATAATTACAGTTGGATTCAACTCATTATTGTACTGTAAAGTCTTGCGATAGGAGTTGCCGATTGTGTCCGTGATGATATTTGATAGGGACAGATGAATTCTGTGATTATTTATCTTATCTGATGACACTTGGCATAACAGCGTTTGAAGTTTAAACTGATTAGCCACAATATATAAACTGAAGTCCTTGGTTTGTTTCAGGAAGCTTGTGAACATGGTTGAAAGAAGACAGTCTTTACCAGAAGTGTATGTTGTGCAAAGTGCATTTCAATAAACCTTAGTTGAAACTTGAGCGTATGTTGTGTAGAAATTTGCATGTCAAACTCAGGAGTGAAGTCAAGACTTTTAAATATTTTTCCACTGGGAATTCTGGGTTTCACAGAATAAAGATTGAATGGTCAGAGACACGCCAGAAACCTATGATTGTGGGTTCACCCCGATTATGTTAGGTTTGTCAGCACCAAAACACGTGCTCGGGAGTTTCACCGAAGGGGTAAACGTCTGAGACTTGCATTACTTCGGGCTTTCCTTCCACATTTAGCTGACACACCGCGATATAACTGGATTGCTGTTAAAAGGGGCATTAAACCCAACTCTCTCATGTCATTAACTGGATTGTCTGGTCCTCTATTATTTACAGACCTCGGTCATAACTGGAATATTGCGGAGTGCGGCGTTGAATCAACGGTACACACTCACGACATGGTGTAGATGTGCCTTTTGCTGTTTTGGTTTCTCCATGTTTAGGGGCGGTCGGGTAGCCTAGTGGTAAGGCGTTCGCTCATAACGCAGAAGACCCGGGTTTGATTCCCGCCATGGGTACAATGTGTGAAGCCCATTTCTGGTGTCTCTCTCTCCCCCCCCCCCCCCCCCCCCCCCAGCCGCAATATTGCTGGAATATTGCTAAAAGCGGCTGAAAACCAAACTCACTCCACTGTTTAAAGAAATTTGGACAAGCACAAGATGACAACCCCCTCTGGTTTCTTCCAGGGTACCAGTGGTAACAAAAGACACCAGCTCATCAGCAATTCATATGGGTGAATGAAAGCCCTAATTTGGGTCTTGGAAACGCAAAAAACTCATCATTAAAAACATGAAAAGAGTAGGAAATTCCAAGGGGCTAAGAATTATGACCGATCAAAACTTAGCAATGGCAGAAAGCTATCGAGTCAAAGGACCAGTTAAAACACGTTTTTAGCACCTATATGAGACCTTAAGCTCGGGGAAAATGTCCGTGTTGCCTTGGAAACGGAAGTAATTACAACTCGTAACGAAGGTTAAGCACTTGTGTAAAGTGTATGAAAACAACACAATTTAGTCAGAGCAGCATGAATCACACATGTAGTAACTCTACTATATTTCTTGACCCTTAACAATTATTGCTACCATAGTCTGAGTGGGGTAGCTTGGTGGTAGAACCGATCACTCGTCGGGTTCGTTTCCACACTTGCATTGATACCATAGATGTCCATTCATGCTGTCCCTGCCGTGGTATTTCTGGAATATTGCTCTAAGCTGCGTAAAACCACTCATTAAGTCACTGAAGGATACGTAAAATTTAGTCATGAATTTGCTGTAAGTAAAAACATGTCTCCCCCTCAATTTTTCTGAAATATCTTTTAAAATATAATGCTTGAATTCAGTGCGACTGTAAAAATATATTTGATATATTTTTCTCAATTAAATGGACTTCATTACCAAACTATGAAAATGCGACTATGCTTGTCGTAAGAGGCGACTAACCGGATCGGATGATCAGGCTCGCTGACTTGTTTGAGTGATGTCATATAGCTGGAATATTGCTGAGAGCGGCGTTAAACAACAAACTATAAAAAACGCTGAACAAATGAGTATTTTCCATTCAATTACCCTGAACTATCATCGCCAAAGATGAAAACACTATGGACAAGATAATTTTGATCCAGGGGTTAACAGGGTGCGAAGAAATGCCACGAAGTATACCTGCTTAATACAACACCCGTGAAGACCCGGGGTAGAGCAGGACCTTCAGCAAGCTAGGCTTGCCGTAAAGGCGACTAGGCTTGTAAGAGGCGACTAACACGATTGGGCGGTCTTGGTTGATGCATGTCATCGTATCCCAATTGCGTGGATCGATGCTCATGATGCCAATTTTGAACAATCTTTTACCATCTGTTGATTATCTGTTATACATAAACCATACATCTAGAATCATTTTTGCGGTTTTTTTGCAGAATATATTTACATTGGGTCATAATTTCGTAACTATAATTCGTTAATCCTGATACTTAGTAACCCGGGTGATTTCATTGAAATCAGTACCGCCCGGATGTGGTTTCACTGTGTCTTGTGAACGGTTAGGCAACATCATATTTTGTACAACGCATATATATACTGAACAACAAAAGTTCCTGTGACAATGAATGAGTGAGTGAGTGGTTTTACGCCGCTTTTAGCAATATTCCAGCAATATCACGGCGGGGGACACCAGAAATGGGCTTCACACATTGTACCCATGTCGGGAATCGAACCCGGGTCTTCGGCGTGACGAGCGAACGCTTTAACCACTAGGCTACCCGACCGCCCCTGTGACAATGAATAAGATTTAATGCAAAGTTATGGTTTTTACCAAATCTGAAACAATTTCGGTTTGCAACAAATAAAAGACTCCTATAAGTGTTCAAATGGTTTAATTTGCAATACTGACTTCAGAAAATGCGTGATTTTATTTAAAAAAACCACGAACATGCCAAAATGTCAATTTACAAATACAAGGTACACACGGTTATTATCTATCGTGAAGTCGTCCGATTTTCGATCACAAATCACTTAATTTCGTTAATCCGACATACTCGTTAATCCGACACAATCATGTGCAACCAACGATGTCGGATTAACGAGACTTGACTGTAAATAGCGTGTGTGTGTCCACCTCTGGTTGCGATGCAAGCAACACATCTTTCATGGAATGGACCAGAAGTCGCACAAAGTCCTATGGGATACCTGTCCATATCTGCTGGAGCATGTTTCGAAGTTCCTGGAGTGTCTGTGGAACACGTGGTTGACGTCGAAGGCGCCGATCCATCTCATCTCACATATGCTCGATTGGTGAGAGATCAGGGGAGCGAGCCGGCCATCCACAGTCATACCACAGTTGAGAGATTTAATGTCATCTGCTAGACCAAGGGACGCAACTCTGCACAGCGCATTTCGGGCCGACTAAGACGACTGGGCCACCCGTGTCCCCTCTTGAGTAAGACACGTACTAAATGTGTTATCGGTTACTAACATAGTCTTACATGATCTTTGATATTCATGAAGACGCAATGATAGGCTTTACTTTAATACAACCTAGCAGAAGACAGTTTAATCCGAATAATAAGAATACACATATATTAATATATATCTTACCAATTACTAAAATAATCCTACATGATAGTTATGAAGAACGTAATAAGCTTTACTTTAATACATTGAAGAATACAGCTTAAACCGAATTATAAAAATACACAAATATGAATATAAAATTTCAGTCTGCAATTTAAATAATATGAACACATCTTTTATGTCTAAACTACCGTTAATTACCAAAATTCATATGCTGAAAGGCATGTCATTGAATGGGTCCAATTTATACGTAAATAGAGCTTAACACTACTGAACATATAGCAATATATGGGCAACTGGATAAAGCAACCAGTGTTATTTGCGCCCACGGGTTTTGCGTGTACAGTGTAGATACCTCGCTTAATAAGTACATTGTTTAAACATTAATTACATAAAAGGGTAATTTAAATCATTTGAATTGAACACACGGTAATTATTTAAAGATTCATTCATTTATCTACACTTTGATTGCAAACATGCAATAAAATATAAAAATGACAACAGATGCACAAGAATTACTTTGCTTCCACGAACCCGATTACCTGTAATATTAATTTGCAGAAGGTCTAAACGTTATTATATTACATTTTATACTTTTTTCATATACACTATATCGTTAGATTATTTCAAGTGCTACATGGTCTAACCTAACTATAATAATAAATTCACTGGTGTACTTAATCAATAATGCCTAATCTAAAATTTTGATTATATTCAAAGTTCATTAACGATTTAATAGATGAAAACTGCCATTTTCTAACCTTTCCGAAATTCAAAGAGATTTATGATGTAAATATCAATTTTCTCGAATTCTTAGGAATAATAAGTTCTGTATCAACAAATCTCCAATCTGTGTCGAAAGATTGACAGAAGACTGAACACTCCCTCTTCCACCCAATTTATTTCATCTACTGAAAGGAGATAAGTCACGTTATTTATACACAAAATTAATTGAGATACACTGAAGCAAAAAGCAACATATCAGAAAATGGGAACACGAACTGCACACACATTTAAACGATGCATGGCTAAAATACAACATGATCCCATTTAGATACACAGAGCAAATCCAATCAGTGGTTTTGATACAAACTCTTACACAACATCCTACCAACCAACAATTTGTTTACAAAATGAGTTATGTTAACAATGAAACATGTGACTATTGTCAACAACGAAACATGTGACTATTGTAAATCAGAATTAGGAACAAAAACATATGTGTTTTGGGAATGTAGAAAAATTCGTCCACTTTTGACATACTTGGAAAGTTAGTTTCTTGAAAATCGTTCTTCGTTTCCCGAAAAATAATAATCACCCTTTAAATATTATAGTTATATTTGTTAAAAAAACTCATTTACGAAAATAAACAGCAAAAACTGCCAACTTTCCAAAATATTCAACTTCAACTGTCAGAATACTATAATGTTACAAAATGTGCAGCTGTCATATGTTTTTCATGTAATTGTGACAATTATCTACATGCAATAAAAATGTCAAGGAGAAAAAAAGATTATATTCAAAGCAATTAACAACTCAGAATGCAATTGAAAAACGGAAAATAGGAATATAATTTAAGAACATACAATATATCAAGTGAACATGTCTTACCTTTAAATAACCAAGAGAAGCAGCTACTAGTGGCCAGTCATTCGATGTATTTCAGCAGTGAGGTACCCCGAATAAAGGATTGTTATTTTATATACCACCGATGCTCTTAGTGGTTATGAGGGCGGTCGGGTAGCCTTGTGGTTAAAGCGTTCGCTCGTCACGCCGAAGAGTGAGTGAGTATGGTTTTACGCCGCCTTTAGCAATGTTCCAGCAATATCACGGCGGGGGAAAACCAGAAATGGGCTTCATACAGTGTACCCATGTCGGGAATCGAACCCGGGTCTTCGGCGTGAAGCGTTCGCTCGCCACGCCGAA